TCCAATGGGTATGGAACTGTTGCTTTTCCGATTTCATTTATGCCACTGAAATTTAGGGAGTGACGTCGCCCGGGGTAATTCGAATACAACGTGCACGCGGACGCGGTTATCGGTATTCGGTGAACTTTCGCGACTTAAATTATTGACTCGCGCTACCGGGAATCGCTAATTGGTCGCGCAGTTTCGGTTAATTAACAGCTAACGATTCGTGAACCGGTCTATTATCGCCGATTGTGAAAGAGAATCTGGCGAATAAACGTGATCAAATGTTTGCGAGAACAAAAAATTGTTGGATCCATCCTTATTACAATTGTAGTATAATTATTGCAATTACGATTATTAAGTATGATTAGACGGTTTCATTGTACGATCCCTTCTGTTATATTTCAAGGGTAGGAACTGGGTTGATTAATAAAGTGCACATACAACGACAGTGATGTTGCATAAACTAAAAACAAATTCCTACTGTATTTTCAATTAAAACTTAAGTATAAGACATTACGGTTGACGAAGTTCGCAAGCGCGAGGCCATTATTAGACTTTCACTTTTTAAAAAAAAACATAATATCCCTCAATCTCACACCTTCTAATCGAGAAACATTAAAATAATATATATAAATATTAAATATATGGGGAAATATGTATAAATTATAATGGGGAATATTAATGAGAACGCATTAAAAATCGTAAGACTATTAAAAATTGTACGGGCATTCCGTTAGGGGGTTGGCCGATCGGAAACGGCCGGGTATTCCGTCGACGGGGGTGGAAATGAACGAGGCTCTCGCCCGGCCGGTTATTGATTACCGAACGATGAAAAAAATGCTAAATACCCGCGCTTGCTCTATTTTTTATCTAGCGGGAGCTATTTTATTGGAGAAAATTGGGGAGGCGGTATCTCATGAATTTATATAGGAAATTCTTCTTAGGCGTGAAAACGCTATTCCTCGCGGACGCCGGAAAATTGGATCCGCCAATTTTAATTGCGATTCTCTTTTTCTGAAAATCTCATTTTTTAACCGTCTATTAGTCGGACGTAAATCGATCAGGGAGATAGTGGGACTCATCGCCTAAATTGGTAACAACAGCTTTTATAATACTGAATACTTGATCAGATTTAATTGCGCGGAAACTTTGATACACCCGTTAATTGGCTCTATTGAACCGCGGGCAGTAGGCGAAAGGGTGGGGGGGTTTGTCAAGTTTCGAATTTCGTAATTGAGTAAGTTGGTATGACCCGAAATGGACGAGCTTTCGCGGAGATAATTATGCCCAAGGCTGAAAACAAGATTCCACGGCGATTAATTAAAGGACGCAGGCTGGGGATCATTTGTTTTCTTAATTAGCAAGTTTCAACGTTCAAGAGTTTGTCTTGTCCCATTAAAATTGAATCGCAGTTCCAAAGACATTCCGTCGATTATGCAGCTTGACGTACGTTCTATTCGATGTGAGACACGTTTTGCAAATCGTTTGCAAGTCTTTTTTATTAAATGAATAATCCAGTGAAAATTTAATAACACTTTAAAAGGTGTTGCACTTGGGAAAAAATTTATGAAATATTCGAATTCGTTCTTTGATATGAAAATTTCCTAGGAATTTTCTTTTCTTTGAGTAAGTCTGATAAACCTTCGTACCACCGATACCATTGATTTTGCTAGCTAGGAGAAAGTGGAGGACGGGTTGAGGCGAGGTCAACCCTCTCTTTTCAGGGCTGGGAGGGTGGCTGGTTCGACATGAAAACGAGGCTTTTCCGGGCTTAGGCTCCGGGGGCTTATCCTTTAACGTTGTTCCTCTGTGACAAACCGAGCTGGAAAAAATTGATGTTTAACCCCTGCAGTTACCTCTTTTCATCCTATTTTCAAAC